AAGTCAATTAAGTACAATTAAGTACTAGCTATTTGACAATTTAAATAGCTAGCCTCCGCAAGCAACATACAATTTAAATAGCGTCATAATCCAAAGAAAAAAAACAAAACGTGTTACACGTTGAAAATTGTTTAAATTCTATTATTTATGTACTATGAAGCACAGGTAGAGCTCACATGAAACATGCACAATTTAATGGACAATTTATCCTCCGTCAATCTCACAAGCACATCATGACATCCGGAAAAAAAAAAAAAAATGGTTAAAATATACAATAAACACCGACTTTTAATCAATACTTTATCCATTCAAAAATAAGTGTTTAGTTTTTTACTTTTACTCGGTTCAAAATACGTGTTTCATTTTAAAAGTTAATGTACTACTTTTTATAAAATTATCAATTTAACATTCTTGACCATCACACCCTCACTTAGACTAAATTTTGTAATTCATTTACTATTAATATAATAAAAATTAATTAAAATATTTTATTAAAAAGTTAAATTTTCAAAAAGAGATATTTAATCCAAAAAATTATTTTATTGTTTGATTGGTACGTATTTTGTTTTAACCCGAAACAAAACAAGTGTTTTGGTGCAGGAGTATTTTGGGTTAAAAATGGAAGCATGTTTGGCAACGTAAAAGTGCAGTGAAAATTTTAAAAGCAGAAACATGTTTGGTAACGTTTTTTGTTTCAAGAAAATTAAAAATAAAATATATTTGGCAGAGTTTGACTGTTTTCAAAATTATTAAAAGAGTACTTTTGATTAATAAATAAAAGCATTCTATTTTGAAACCAAATGAGTGAATATTTATATCAAATGATATCACAATTAAATACATATATATATATGGATCCAAACTCCAACTGACTTTTATTTATTAATGTCAAGGTCAAACCTTTTTCAAAGAAGCGTGTGGGGATCGTCCTCTACTCTTCCGTGTTCTATACTATACATACACCCTGCGCGCCTTCACAGCTTCACAACTATCCTCGCAAGAATTCAGCAAAACATGAGCATTTTGGGAACTTTTTTTACCATCATTCTAATCCTCTTTCTCATATCCTATATCAATTCCCGCCATAATCTACTAATTCCCAAGTTCAATCTCCATTCAGTCATGATGAATTATGTAATTCTGACCCTTACCCATTTCAATTCAGGTTGGAATTTCTTGTTCCAACACTCCAACTTCTGGCAAACAGAATGCGATCAAGCGCCGAAGAACGGTGAAGATCTCGGCATAACGCGCTACGAAGGCAGAGGGTCTGGGGGAGCTGTGGAATGCGCTGTGTGTCTGTGTGAGATTGAAGAAGGTGACGAGATTCGTGAGCTCAAATGTGCTCACGTCTTTCACAGAGTCTGCTTGGACAGATGGGTCGAGTACAGGCACATAACCTGTCCACTGTGTCGTGATTCTCTGCGTTCGCGAAGATGTGTGGATGAGGTCGGAGAGGAGGTTCTGTTGTTCAAGTTCTGTTCTTTCCGGTCAAGTGACCGGAATTTATGGTGGTTACGGTGAATCATAGGTACACCTGGTCATAATTCCGTTCTCATGCGAGTTCATTGTAATGCCTCTGGACCTTAAAAAGATTTCTCTCGATTTCTACATTATGTTAATGGTTGGAGAGTAGTAGCGTCTCCTTTACGTGCAGGGTGAGATGAGAGCTTAAATCCGGTCTTCGACAAATGAATACGTGAGTTTCTTGTTAAACCGACGGGCAGCTATCCAACTGTATCAGTCTTTTAAGAATTTAATACAAGTGTGAAAATAATAACTATAAAAAAAAAATTCTTGTCAAGGAAAAAAAATAAATAATAAAAAAATAAAAAATTATATTGGCTGTTGCGGACCTATGTACTCCAACTACATAAATAAATTTCGATTGCCATTTTAAAATTGGTGTCACCTTTAAACTGTTGTTATTTTTGGATGTACCAAATTGGGCGACTTTGATTTGAAATTGAAGGAATTTAAGATGGACTTCGTAATAAAATTTATTCTATTGTCAAATTCAATGCCTTCCATGCTTCTAAACGTAACATACATATCATTGTCTTCAGGTTTAATTATTGTGACCAGCATACTTTAAGCCGACCCTGTTATTGCAGCTCAATTATTGAAGTAATGCTTACCCTGTTCTTGCAGATCAATTATATGCCTGCGCCCTACCCTGTTCCTGCAGCTCAATTATTTTAAACATGTGTTTTTTTTTTTTTTTTTATTTCTTCGGTTAGCAAGAACTATGTTCAAATATATCCTATTAGGAGAACTCTAAGACATAATAGGAGAAGATGATGATATTAATATTCTAATTAAAATCCAATCAATCATTACAAAGGTTAGTGAAGACATATGTGTGAGAGTTATATGGTTTTATGCAATAATTATATGATTTTTGCTTGTCAATTATAACTTAAAGACATACTCATTCAGCTCCAAAATAAGTGTTTGATTTTGAGAACCGTGACAAGGTTCCCAAAACAAGACAGTTATTTTAAGACAAAAGGAGTACATGGAAAGCTCTAGTCTCTAAACCTTGTATCCAATAGAATGCTTTTAAAGTTTTTTTTTTTTTGGACGTAAAATACTTTTTGAAAAATATATATTTTTTATTTTTTTAGTGTTTAGTTATCGTAAAATTATTACAAAAAAACTTATTTACTCATCAATTTTGGATAAATTATTTTACATGTCTCGTCAATAGACTCAGACCTCAACTACATCAACTTTGACCCAGACTTTTTTTAAACACCGAAAAATAAAGAATAAAGATAAGAAAATATTTTACTAGAAAACTAAAAAAAAAAAATGCAAAATACAAAAATGAATACAAAAACAAAACATAAATCAAGTGAAAGAAAGTTGGATTTACAGATTTAACACGTAGAAGCTGCTCCACCGTCAAGCATATATATATAGATTTGTTGACATATTATGGTATACATGTGAAAGCCAATAAGTATTTGCAACAAGATAGTTTTAATTATGTACGTGCAGGCAAGAGACTTAAGATGCATCAATCTCACCTGGATCGCAAACTTTGCCCGAATTGTTATTCTGTATGTATGTGTGTGTGTGTGTGTGTATATATATATATATATATATATATATATATTCGTATCAGAAATGTGAATTTGCCAAGTTTTTCAAAGTGTGAAAATGAAGGACATTCCAAAAAAATGGAGAAGAGATGAACACGTATGCAAATAAGGGAAATCCAGTGAAGCGCCAATATCAATTTTAAGTTTTAATATTTTCCGGTAAGTGATTTGTGTGTGTACTCAAATTTCGTATCTGAAAAATAAGAAATAAAATGTGGAATAAATAATAATATTATTGATTTATAAAAAATAAATCTGTACAATCGTCTTTGAATATCTTTTTAAACAAAAGACTATATTCTCTAATTCTTAATAAAATGCGCCAATATTTTTGTTATTGATAATTATCTTTTGAGTGGTTGACCAATCTCAAGTGGGTTTGGGCCTGTTGGATAATTTAATTTGTTTTATGGGCTCATTTAGGATGATTCCAAAATTATTATTAGTGTAAGCCCAATTAAGTACCATTCAGTCATTAAATTTTCAATGTTTACGGTGGTGTATAAGTTGAACAAACAGGACTCAAGGCCTGGAGAGTCAAACAGAAAAGGGCCCATGAGGGCTAAATAATGCTTTGGGCTATGGAATTCACTCCAGTGGAGTCCAAAGTTCTTTGAAGATTTTCATCCTCTGGGCCAAAAAATGTATAAGTTCTTTTCTCATCTAGCAAAGACCTAACAAGGGCTCAAAACAATTCTTACTGCGGTAAAAATGCACAAGATTACAAAATTATTTCCTTTAGTAAGCATTGTCCAACTAGTTTTGATTTATAGATCTCATGTCAAATTTTAATGTAAAATGTGTTGTGTTATGAAATTATTTCTTGACATAAACCTAGATCGATAAATAAAATATCAGACTTGACTCGGTGTATTTAATGACAATTATTGATGTGAATCATACACTTGGTTTTTTACTATTGGTTTGAAATCGCAAAACCTTATCCAGCCGTCAGATTATGATGGGGATTTGGTTTTAGACTCCCTCGCTCTAGTTCTTGCTCACTCCCGTTTGGTATGGACTTAAATTATATGTCTAGTTACTAATGAAATATCATGTATTTCAGAATGGAATTCAGAATCTATTTTATAATTCATTCACTTTCTAAAAGACAAATAAGATTTCACAAGCTTAGTCTGTCAAACTGACTAATTTGGTTTTGTAAGACTCTCATATTAAATTAAGATAATTTTATTTTTTTAAGAAATTTGAAAAGGAAATACAATAAGATTTCACAAGCTTAGTATGTCAAAGTGACTAATTTGGTTATGTAAGACTCTCATATTAAATTAAGATAATTTTATTTTTTTAAGAAATTTGAAAATGAAATACCTTTGGTAACGTCATACCCACTTGGCTTGGATTTCAAAACCTTTTCTATTTATTGAGTGACCAGACCGACACCATATAACATATTAAAACTTTTTACTCCTCAATTATTAAGAGCAAATGCTACATAGGCCTACGTCTTCAACTGAAAACTCCTATCTCTACTTAAATGAAAAGGGATTTAATTTCTAATAATCCGTGTCAATGCCCGTTGAAGGAAGGGAATATTTCTAACAAAAAGTACCAAGGTGATTTTATTTTTTTTGGTCCCATTAATTAAATTCATTTGAAGTATATTTTTCAATAATTTAAAAAAATTATTATATGAATTTCTTAAAACACTTAATTTGAAGTATATTTTTCAAAAAGTTAAATTTTCAAAAAGAGATATTTAATCTGAAAAATCATTTTATTACTTGATTGCTACTCATTTTGTTTTAACCCAAAACAAAACAAGTGTTTTGGTGTAAGAGTATTTTGGGTTGAAAAGGGAAGCATGTTTGGTAACGCAAAGATGCAGTGAAAATTTTGAAAGCAGAAACACGTAAAATATGTTTGGTAACGTTTTTTGTTTTAAAAAAATTAAAAACAAAACATGTTTGACAGAGTCTGACTGTTTCCAAAATTATTAAAAGTGTATTTTTGATTAATAAATAAAAGCATTCTATTTTGAAACGAAATGAGATAATATTTATATCAAATGATTATCACAATTAAAAAAAAAAAAAAAAAAAAAATGATCCAAACTCCTACTGATTTATATTTATTAATGTCAAGGTCAAACCCTTTTCAAAGACGCGTGTGGGGATCATCCTCTACTCTCCCATCATTATTGGCCTTCCGTGTTCTATATACACACCCTGCGCGCCTTCACAGCTTCACTGCTAGCCTCGCAAGAATTCAGCCAACATGAGCATTTTGGCAACTTTTTTTACCATCATTCCAATCCTCTTTCTCATATCCTATATCAAATCCCGCCATAATCTACTAATTCCCAAGTTCAATCTCCATTCAGTCGTGATGAATTATGTAATTCTGCCTCTTACCCATTTCAATTCAGGTTGGAATTTCTTGTTTCAACACTCCAACTTCTGGCATACAGAATGTGATCGCGTGCCGAAGAACGGTGAAGATCTCGGCGTTAAGCTTTACGAAGGCAGAGGGTCTGGGGGAGCTGTGGAATGCGCTGTGTGTCTGTGTGAGATTGAAGAAGGTGACGAGATTCGTGAGCTCAAATGTGCTCACCTCTTTCACCGAGTCTGCTTAGACAGATGGGTTGAGTACCGGCACATAACTTGTCCACTGTGTCGTGATTCTCTACGTTCGCGAAGATGTGTGGATGAGGTCGGAGAGGAGGTTCTGTTGTTCAAGTTCTGTTCTTTCCGGTCAAGTGACCGGAATTTATGGTGGTTACGGTGAATCATAGGTGCACCTAGTCATAATTCCGTTCTCATATGAGTTCATTGTAATGCCTCTCGACCTCAAAAAGATTTCTCTCGATTTCTACATTTTGTCAATGGTTGTAGAGTAGTAGCGTATCCTTTACCTGCCGGGGTGAAATGAGAGCTTGAAATCGGTCGTATAGAGACAAATGAATATATGAGTTTCTTCTCAATCAAAGAAAATAAACGAAAAAATAAATAAAAAGTCATGTTGGCTGTTGCGGACCTATGTGCTCTAACTTCATAAATAAATTTCGATTGCCATTTAAAAACTGGTATCACTCTGTTATGTTTGGGTGGAGCGAACAGGCGACTTTGATTTAGAATTGAAGGAAATTTAAGACAAATTTTGTAGTAAATTTCCTCCATTGTCAAATTCAAAGCCTCCATGTGGTGCTTCCGAAAGTAACATACATAGCATTGTCTCCAGGTTTAATTATTGTGACCAGTATTCTTTAAACCTACCCTGTAATTGCAGCTCAATTATTGAAGTATGCTTACTCTGTTCTTGCAGATCAATTATTTACGTATGCCTACCCTGTTCCTGCAGCTCAATTATTTTTAACATTTTATCAATCATAGAATACAATTACTACTGTCACACTTGATATACTTGTATGCGATAATTATATGGTTTTTGCTTGAAAGTTGTAACTCTAAAGTCTATATCTGGTATCCAATAGAATGTCTTTTTTTATTATTATTATTTTTTTATGTAAAATATATTTTTTATTTTTTGGTTGTTGTAAAATAATTACGAAAAAAAAGATAAGTTATTTTATATATTACTTGATCCAGACCCTTGTTAAATATTAAAAAATAAAAAATAAAAAATTATTTTACGTGAACTTATACCAAACAAAAGAGCATAAGAGAATTAGAAAAAATAAAAATGCAAAATACAAAACAAAAGCTGCTCCACCATCAAGCATATATATATATATATATAGAGATAGAGAGAGAGAGAGAGAGAGAGAGAGAGAGATTTTTTGACATATTATGCCATACATGTGAAAGCCAGAATTATTTCCAGATTATAAGGTGGTACTTGAATCTACGAGTAAGAAAAAATAATTGTCAGATAAATCTGATAATATATTAATAATTAAATGAATGATTTGCCCTGCTATACATGTATTTATAAATAAAAACCCTAATAATATAAAGGAAATCCTAAAAATGTAAGGAAACTAGTAATGTAAGGAAACTGTTCATAAGCAAACTTGTTCTAAATATTCTGTAAAAATAAAGAAAGAATCCTTCTACTCAATACCAAAAAGAAAGCGAATTGAATCCGTTTAGTCTTCTAAAAAAAATTCTGAAATATTCAAAAATGGGAAAACGCCATTCCCAAGCCCTAAACGATTGAATTTGGCCAAAAGGCGCCCTACCTCAGCAGCAAAGCTGCGGATATCTGCGAGTTGGGCCGTTTCTGATAAAAGTAGGCTCTTTCCGGGTTAAAAACGGATTCCTCAAAATCATCCGATAAAAACTGATCAGCCTGTCTGTTTGACCTTTTGACGATCCAAAACGGATTTCAAAATCTTTAGCTAACTGTCATGCATCAAGACTTAAGATACATCAATCTCACCTTGGATCGCAAACTCTGCCCGAATTGTTATTATGTGTGTGTGTGTGTATATATATATATATATCAGAAATGTGAATTTGCCAAGTTTTTCAAAGTGTTAAAACCAAGGACATTCCAAAAAATGGAGAAGAGATGGAACAAATATGCAAATAAGGGAAATCCAGTAGACCGCCAATATCAATTTTAAGTTTTAACAAGTATCCCTAAGGTATAAATGCTATTTTTCGGTAAATGATTTGTGTGTCTACACATAAATTGCCAACCTTTCATAGCATCTAAATCAGGATGATATTGTGTTAGAGTGTGTTCCTGCTCATATTGTACAACTTGTTTAGATGTAATTCTTCTATGTTTGTCAGGGAAAAAAATAAAAAATAAAAAATTCTACACACAAATTTTGAATCTGAAAAAAAAAAAAAAATGTGAAACAAAAAATAATTTTATTGATTTATAAAAAATAAATGGGTACCTCTTTGATTATCTTTTACCCACAGACTATATTCTCTAATTCTTAATAAAATGCGCCAATATTTTTGTTAATGATAATTATCTTTTGAGGGGTTGACCAATCTCAAGTGGGTTTGGGCCTGGTAGGTAATTTAATTTGTTTTATGGGCTGTGAGTCCAAAGTTATTATAGTGTAAGCCCAATTAAGTATCATTCAGTCATAAAATTTTCAATGTTTCCGGTGGTGTGTAAGATGAACAAACAGGACTCAAGGCCCGGAGAGTCACACAGAAAAGGGTCCATGAAACCTAAATAATGCTTTTGGCTATGGAATTCACTCCGGTGGAGTCCAAAGTTCTTTTAAAAATTTCAATTTCTGGGTCAAAATATGTACTCCCTTATCCCAAAATAAGTGTCATGTTGTTTTTTTTTTGGTCCCAAAATAATTGTACATTTTCCTTTTTTAAACAATATATTTCACATATTTTCATATATGTTCTTTGAGTTTTAAATTTCAAACTTGAATATTCAAAATTTAAAAGGGCAATTTAGTAACTTTTTAGGGAGACAATACATGTCCCACATATCCCTCTAAAAATTACTACTCTCTAAAAGCGACACTTTAATTGGGACGGAAGGAGTATAACTTAAGGGCTCAAAACAATTCTTAATATAATAAAAATTCACAAGATTACAAAATTATTTCTTTTAGTAAACATTGTCCAACTAGTTTTGATTTAAAAATTTTAAGGTAAAATATGTTGTGTTATGAAATTATTTCATGACATAAATTGTGGATCAATAAATAAAATATCTGACTTGACGACTATTGATGTGAATGATACACTTGATTTTTTACTATTGTTGTTTTGAAATTCCAAAACCGTATCCAGTGGACCCAGAACGTCACATTATGATTAGGGACTTGCCACCAACATTTCTACGTCATAACATATTGCTGGAGATAAATAATAAAAAAAAAATTTACACATCATACGTGACAATGTATATTTTATATTTATACAAAGAATATTTTAACATACTGTTTTGGAGATTCTCTTAATAATCAAATTTTTTTACATTAAATATATATAATATATTCTCTCTATTTTAAAAAATAATATCGCGTTTGAGAAACCGTAATATCTTTTTAAGACGGACGTAGTATATATATTATTTGAAAGATAAAGACAAAGTACAAAGAGTGCTCTATGTAGCTCTCGTGAATCGCCTGGCAATGGCTTTGGATCAAACTTAAAAGCAAAACCTGTGAATGGCATGCATGGACGCGAGTAACGACGACCCAAGTAAACGGACAAAGAATTACTGAGTGGTTCAAAGTGATCTGAGCCTGACCCACCACAAATCTTTAATAAAGGTGCGTCCACTTTACATATATGTCCACAATCAGTTTGGAGTCTTTATATATTTTTTCAAGGATCACACAAAATTAGGTTTTGAAAATTTTAGCAAAGTTCCAAAACTTTGAAATCCACAATCTTTTCGTACCATTCATGTGGGTAAAGTAATAGACAAGGAGAAGACAATAATGGCCTCCCAACCTCACCACTACTGCCATTATAGTTCGAAGCCGGGCCAAATGAAAACGTGTCCCACCAATTTTTTATTTTTTTATAATAATTTTGGAGAGATTCAAATCCTTTACCTTTTATATTCGAATACGAAGTCGTAAAAAAATTATCTTGAAATGTTTTATTTTGTACACTAACAAAGTAAAATTTCAAAATAAAAAAGTTATACTATTATTTCTCAATTCTTTATTTCAATATGCTATTTCCCGTCAAAATATATTTATAAGTTATATTTATAAATACATGTAACCGTGATTATATATATATATATACACGTAATCGCTCTGCACAACACGATTCTTTATCTTCCCTTTTCTTCTTTATGGGTGCTGCGCGCTTTAATTTATTCCACCCAAACCATGCCGACACTGTTTTGAACGATGTATTATCACATTTACACTATTTTGTTACAATACCTACCAGTGACATAAAAATATATTCATTTTTCTTTCTTTTACATCTACAGTATGGAACTCACGTCTCCTTTATATATATATATATATATATATATATATATATATAAACAATTTGAAACTTTTTCAAATTAAAGCAAATATAAATATCTATTTTGCCCACACCTGGCACGAACCCTATCCTCCTCTTTGAAGATAGAAAAGTTAATAGTCAATGCATATTGCCTCTCCAAATTTTATTTTTTTTTATTTTTTTCTCCTGACAATCAGTGAAAGAGACTCGAACATGAACCAAGTTCATTTTGTGCCTATATAATACAGAAAGACCAAAATGAAAGAGCACAAGGGAAAGGACAAGATGGACGTTCTTCACATGAATGCTGGTAATGGAGAAACTAGCTACGCCAAGAATTCAATCCTTCAGGTAGCTCGCTCTCTCTCTCTCTCTCTCTCATGCACAGACAAATAAACAGTACTGGAATGAATATGAAATATTTCACAGAAAGATTTAGAGTACAAGTCCATTTTTTTTTTTCAGAAAAAAGTGATGCTAAAGGCGCAGCCCCTACTAGAAGACACCCTCAACGACATGTATAATGAAGACTTCCCTAAGTGCTTTAAGATAGCAGATTTGGGTTGCTCTTCAGGTCCAAATACCCTTTTTGTCATCTCCGAAATCATCAACACAATTCATGGTTTGTGCCAGCAAAATAATTCCAAACCACCTGAATTCCAAGTGTATCTAAATGATCTTCCAGACAATGACTTCAACACCATTTTCAAATCACTACCGGTATTCTACGAGAAGCTCAAAAAAAGCAGAGGAGAGGAGTTGAGTCCTTGTTTTGTATCGGGATCACCAGGTTCTTTCTATGACAGGCTTTTCCCGACCAGTAGCTTACACTTCGTTCATTCTTCTTACAGTGTCCATTGGCTCTCTAAGGTTAGCATATAGCATCTTCATTCAGAGCACAATTCTAAAGCAAATACGTACTGTCCATAAACATGCATTAATTTAAGGTCTTTCAAGCTGAGGTTGAAAATCAAGTAGATAGAAAAATTCTTACACGGCATACATGAAAGACAGGTTCCTGAAAGGCTGGATAATAACAAGGGCAACATCATATACATGACCAAGACAAGTAATTTTCATGTGTTTGAAGCATACTTGAAGCAATTTCAAAACGATTTCTCGACATTTCTAAGATTACGCTCCGAAGAAATAATACCCGGAGGGCGTATGGTTCTAACATTCAGAGGTAGGAGTACTGCAGATCCTACAAGCAAAGATTCTCCCACTCTCAATGAAATCCTCCAAGAATCGCTTCTCAACATGGTGGCTGAGGTGTAGCTCATTTCCTCTTTAATAGAACCACAACTAAACTCAGTATTTATCACCATTTAATATATTTATGGTTGCTCCCATTGTGACCTGGAGGTCACGGATTTGAAATTGAAAACAGCCTCTCCATTGGGAGGGTAGACTGACCCTCTCCAAATCCTACAATGACAAGAACCTCGTGCATTGGGCTAGCCCTTTATATATATATATATATATATATACACGGTTTCTATAATGTCATAATCATCCTTTTGGTTTTAGGGGCTCATTGAAGAAGCTCAAGTTGATTCATTCAATTTGCCCATTTATGCACCCTACAAGGATGAAGTAAAGGCTATAATTCACAAGGAAGCATCCTTTACTCTTGACAGGCTAGACACTTTTGAGGTCGATTGGGACTCCAGAGACAAAGATGATGACAAACACTATATTTTTGACAAACAGACGAGTGGGGAAAATGTGGCAAGATGGTCTAGAGCTATTTGGGAGCCCATATTGGCTAATCATTTCGGAGAGACAGTCATTGATGAACTGTTTGCAAGATTTGCAAAGCATGTGGCTGAGCATCTGTCTGCGGAGAAAGCAAAGATATTCAGTATAGTCATTTCGTTAAGAAAGAAGTGACCGTTAACCAATGGACCATTAGCCCAATGGAAAAACCTCTCCTCCTTCAAAAGAGAGGTGAGGGATTCAAGCCCGCAATGGCAATTTGTGAAGTAAGCGTGTTTGTGGAGTGTGTGTGTGTGTGTGTGTGAGCACTTACCTGACCATTCAAAAATGGGCAGGTGATGAAACCTAAAGCTTTCCCGTGATTGCTTTGCATCCAAGAGAAAACTGCATTGTTGCAAAATGATCAGTCTTGGCTCTATGAACAAAAATAAGGCATTCTATTAATCTGATTTCATTTCATGAATTTTTCAACTTTTCATAAAACAGGTACTGGTTACCTAATTAAATATCAGATTTCAGGTTGATAATTCTCAATCAAGAATGAATATTTGTAATTTGTTATACATGACATGTAGGGTTATAGTGCTGTAGCAGGCCCCTATGCCTTAATTTCAACCCCAAATAACTACACTCTAACTAGTTATCAATTACGGAGTACTGTGGCGAACACCATCGTAGCCCAACGGTTTTGTTGCTCCTTGTTGTCCTAGGGAGCTTGGCTTCGAGCCTTCGCACCCTTAATTTCTGATCTAACATTCTTACTTAAAAAATAAAAAAAATAAAAAATTACCCAAAAAAACACACACAACTAGTTATCAACTATATTATAATAACATAACATCTATGGTGGAATCAATGGATAACGACTACAGTTGTTGATCAATCTCAACTATATTATAATAACATAACATCTATGGTGGAATCAATGGATAACAACTTTACAGTTGTTGATCAATCTCAACTATATTATAATAATAAATTGTTGAATCAATGGATAACAACTTTACAGTTGTTGATCAATCAATTAGTCACTTTGCTGAGCAACAATGGTTGTAGGGTAGTAGTCTGTCTTTTACTTCACAAAGTGTGTGAGGAATCAAGTTCCAAATAGATTTATGACTTTCTTGTCAACAATGAAAATATAGATATATATATATATATATATACACACAGTAAAGGAAAAGATAAATTATGTCGACTGTTGAGGACCTATGTGTTCCAACTTCGGAAATGAATTTCAACTGCCATTTAAAAATGGTGTCAACTTTAAATTGCATGTCACCCAGGTTTAATTATTGAACCCAGATACTTTTAAGCCTAACTTTATCCTTGCAGCCCAATTATTTTAAACATACTTCTTATTAATCCAATTTCTATGTGTGTTAACATTTAGATTATTTTAAACGACAATAAATTCTCTTTTTCCACTCTTTTCTATTACAAGCTATGTCTCCTGTTAGAACTTTAATCTTTTACTAACTGTTCAAAACCATAGCATTGATTAGAATTTGATGCATCCCATTAGGAGAAAACGATGACATAATAGGAGAAGATGATGACCTTTAATATCTCAAAATCCAATCAATCATAGATTACGATGATCACTGTCACACTAAATATAATTGTGTGCAATAATTATATGTTTTTTTGCTTGTAACTTTAGACATGAATAAAAGTAAATCATTGTCTCGAGCTACAAGATGGCAAGCCCCAATTGAATGCCCCCAAACCAAAAAAAGAGCACAAGTGAAAAATAAAAAGGAAAAACGAATACAAAGACAAAACAAAAATCGAGCAAAATCGGCACTTAGAAGCAGCTCCACCCTCAGGAATAGAATTGGCAAGAAAAGCAAGAACCTTGTTGAACAATCAATTAGTACTATGCAATGACAAACAAACAATGATACAACAAACTCACTCATCATCGATTCAGCACCATTTTAACAGCATTTTGTTGAGCCAGCGTTAAACTCTGCAAATACAGTGAACACAAAAGATTCAACCAAAAATTGAATAGGACATGAGGTAACTAGCCCAAAACTAAAAATCTTGATGATGATATTTGACACAATAAAGAGGGTTAAGCAAACCTGGCAAAGATGATCGAACAGTGCTCTGTCGCTATAAGCAAACTTCGCAAAAAATTCTCCAAGATAGTTTGCCAGATTAATCTGATAGGTCGCAGCACCATAAGTTAAATTCATATGAAATGCTCAATAATCTGTATCAAATACTAAAATTTTGAATAAATTAATACCTCATTAAGGGGGTCCGCAACACTGAGTAGGTCATCATCATTACTATCATCTTGGTCCTTGAAGTTTTCAAGTAAAATAAAAAAATTCATTTAGTAGTGCAAAAATTTTAAATGCACATCAAGTGAGTAGTAATCAAGAAGAACAGCTTTTTCACACAAACCTCATTGAAAGCTTTTGCCATTGCATCAAGATATTCATATGTGGGTCTACTATGTGATCCAGCACCAGCTGAATATAGCAAATCTTCATCGGCTTCAACATCTCCTGCCTGAAGTTCCTCCCATTCACTATCCTGAAACAAAGACGAGTTTAGAGCATAGAATTCCTTTTTTCCGGACAAAAAAAAAAAAAAAACTGAGAATTACTAATACACCAGTTCTTCACCTGCATGCTACAAGAAGATAAAATAACAATAAATTACCTCGTCATCACCAGCTAAAACTTGTTCCTGAATCTCAATCAGCACATCTGCCAATATAGCCAGTATCTTTCATGGGCAAGAAAAAGGTAATGTTATGACTTGTGAGCCCCATCCAATATTTACCAATCAAACAAAAATCAAACTAGCAATTTAACGTGCATGTGGGTGTGTGTCTATATATATATATATATATAAATGTTAATTATCTTTTTCTTTTATTATGAGAGATAATAAGGAAAAGCTTTAACAATACCACAAACAATTGATAAATTGAAGCACAAGCAGTAATGAGAAACTTGTATGTATGAAGAATAACATCACGTCAGCTGCGCATCAAAGCACAAGCTTTGACAGTTCGAGGAAAAAAGATATTCACCGACACCTAGTAGAGTGCTTATCACTTGCATAAAAATATATTCTGTGCAATTGGAGTAAGTTCCCAGATTAAGAACCATACTGGCTGACAACCTCCTTTAACAAAGACAATCTTTCAGCAACAAGAATCAGATTAACAAGTACCAACCTTGGCAGGAAGTGGCATCAGCGTCCATTGATCAGGGGCTAGTTTAGCCTTTGAGCGAGTGGTTATCCCTGCGGTGGACTTCACATGAAACTGGGTAAGTTTTTTTTTTTTATTTTTTTTTTTTATGACTGTAACTCCTAAATGGTAGACAACAAGTACAATCAAACCTTAATCAAATAGCCTTGGACATTGATTTTCCCCAATTCAACATGCTTCGTCGATAGCAATAAAGCCAAAGCAGTGGTGGTGACTTTTATTTGGTAGGCACCCTGAATCTCCCCTGTATTCAATTAGCATTTGAAAAATTATCAGATGACTCACCAATGATCCCTCTCTCTGGCAAAATAATTCTTAATTTTATAGTAAAATCTAACAGCTTCCTGGTATTTAACAATGCTGTTGAAATAACACAAAAAATCTGGTTCGATGTTGGTTGAAGCAATCATGCTTTACATTAAAATTAAACATGGCCTTGTTAAATAAAAAGGTTAACAAAATTCAAAAGTAAACAAAGGCAAAGACAGGAAGGGATTTAACATTATGTTCCATCTATTTCCTCGGTGCTAATCTCTGATGCATGGACTCCCCCATTCTCTCCTTCACATACACATGTCAACATGACAATACATGGTATGGGGTATATGATGTGTGACAGACGCACAAACCAAATTGGTAACATAGGCACTAATTACTGCAGGTACTAAGAAATCAATAAGATTCATCATGACTAATGGAGGAAAATGTCCAAGAAACTCATGAATGACAAGCCCGAATGAGACTTTTGTCCCATATGAGATTATTTACACCCATGTATTAAAATAAGTGCCAAACAAATGGTAAAAATAATACAAGCCCCACAGTAAAGAAACTTCATACAGAAAAATCACTTAAAACCTCCATGCATTGAGCATAAGTTCTAGTAGTAGTACTAATTTCTTATACATTACTCAAAATCCCCTTGTAGCTTGGCGCAAATATCCATACTGGACGAGCTTAAAGTTTATGCAGTGTTCAAGTCAATTATGGAAGAGCATAAAGTTTACACAGTGTTCAAGTCACCTATGGAAAAGGGGGGATTCCAAGTACAGGTGCCAAACTAAGTAATTCAAAAATCAAAACGGCACAAACTCAAAAGGAGAAACCAACAACGCCAATGATAAGGCAAGTTCATAGCTGTACAATAAGAGTTGACTTAATAGTACTAGCAATAAGTTCTATTCAATTATTCTTCTCCAAAAAGAAACATACACATGTTCATAAATGCATATATGTAGGTGTGTGTGAACTCTGAAGACATCAAACTCTAATCAATGCTAAAGAAAGAAATTTCAACTTCTTAATTTGCAATATTGTCGTCCTTTTTATCAAAATAAATACATAAAAAAATAGATAAAAACTCAATTTCCCCGAGTGTATTGACATCAGAAAAGGGAGGAGAATGATGATCTGAAAGCTTCATGATATTGGAATCCAAACCACCTTTTTGGAAACAGATATTGGATATAGGTGACAAGGAAGTGGCGAAGTGCATGGACTCCACGACTATAATGGTAAACCAGGTGTACATAGTCAATTGGCTATTGAGTAGATAGTAGATGTAAACTAGGGCCTCCATAAGTGTTTTATGGAGAGAATTATAAATAGTAGACCAGGTAAATCAGCTTTTTTATAAATAAAATAAATAAATAAATAAATTTCCAAAGTGAGAATTTGCATAATGAGTAATTGCTCCCCAAGTGTATGCTTCCAGAAATTTGTGTCATGAACGGACCTTCTTTTTCTCCTCTTATTCATCATGGTAATGCGCAGCACAGTGCTGGCAAGGGTGATGGAGGGAGCTATTAAAGAATGTTTTCAGATTTGGTCCCCCCGGCACACAAGCTTAAGCAATAGACTAGATGAATAGGGGAAATGTACATACAGGTCTGACCTTGTTTTTTGGATATCTACCTACTGGAGAAGGAAAAACTTTACCAATCCTTTGGCAAAATGGCACTTTCCACATGTGTCTACCACATTTGGGAGGAGCGAAATGCTCAAATCTTCAAAGGGCGATCAACTTCTCAGAACCATGTTCTCAGCATCATAAGGAGTTCAATTAGGGCAAAGCTGCAATCAGGTAGCTCAAATTCAGTATTGAAGCTTTGAATGTATGACCAAGTGGGCTTTGTGGACAGGAGACCAATTGGAATGGGGTCATGGGATTCAGGTGATGCCAGGCACAGACAACAACCATTTGGCCAGTGTTTATAGGCATTGAGTTTCCTGTCAAGGGTTGGCAATCTATGTTGGATGAAATCCATGTAATTAACTAATGTTTGGGGATACAGATAGATTATTCCATGGAATGTGGCGCCAAGGTTTTGGAGCAGAAGGGAAGGATAAGGCTAATGAAGCAGATTACATGGTGTATTGGCCAGAGGGAGAGAGCAGCCACACAAGCCTATCTGTCCATGAATCTGTTGACAGTTGTATCTTTAGGAATAAAGGACATTTGCAGCTGGGAGTCACCATACTTGGGAGTGCAGAGAAAACAGTCGGGAGCCAATTGTCTATCCAAAAGGAGCAAGAAGAGCCATTCCCAAGGTGGTGTTTGATAAATTTCCCACCAGTGTGTCTGAGTTGCAACAGTTTCCTCCAAGACCATGCAATATCTTGAGGAATCTTAAGCTCCCATATGCTCCTGTTCTTGATTAAGTATGCATTACCCCAGCAGCACCAAATACTCTGTGAATTGTTGTTGACGACAGCCCAGATATACCTCAATACAGCTGCTCGGTTAGAGCCTCTAATTGATCATTGGCAAGTGACACTTTAGTATTTTGTGGGATAGATAAAAACAACTGAAATACTTGGAATGCGTTCTCTGTTTTGCAGCTGGGTAGGGGTTGAAGATTAATATTGAAAAAAGAAAGTCCCAGCTTGGGAGTTGGAAAAGATGGCCATTTTTGGGCCTTTTCTTTCAAAATACTTGGGACTTCCCATTACTTCCTTATTTACAGGCAAAGCTGTTGGGGACCCTATTGCCATTGCTGAGACATTTGAGATTAGATGGATGGAAGAAATAGCAAAATGAGGTAGGCACCTCATGAATAGAATTTTCATCCTCTTGACGTAGTTTATGTCTATTTACTTCATCCCAATACCAGAGGAGAAATGGGTAGCAGAGCCTGGAAATCCTTTTCCTGTTTTTTGGGTTACTGGAAATGGATTCAAATATGTGAAATGGGATGGTACGTGTATGGTCCTGGTCAAATAAGGTGGTTTGGGGATAAGAAGTCATAGAATTAACAAGCTCCTTTAGGAAGGAGCTGCGGATATGTGGCAGAGAGGAACAACTTATAAAGAATAGTCGGGAAGTGTGGCACATGAAGGGATATTAGTGTTTGAATAAAGTCCCTATAACATATAGGGTGGGGGATCAGGAAATATGGTATTAAGTCTCAGACACAGAAGTAGATGCAGACATGGTTACAGTCTAGTAGATGCAGATGTGGTTACCGTGTAGCAGATGCAGGGTGTAGTAGATGCAGATGTGGTTACCGTGTAGCAGATGCAGGGTGTAGTAGAGGCAGATGTGGTTACCGTGCAGCAGATGCAGGGTGTAACGAGCGTTATGTAACAGTGTAGGGAACCGTAGTCGTGATTTTTTTTTACTGTAGATGCACACGTGATTACAGTGTAGTAGATGCACACGTGATTACAGCGTAGTAGATGCAGACACGGTTACAGTGTAGCAAATGCAGGGTGTAACGGGCGTTATTTAAGGCTTACTTAGAAGAGACTCTTCCCAGTCCCTACTCAACCAAGTCCCTAGGGACACGGATGAGTTTAATATAATTCGGCCTTGATTATCGGCTTCGGACACGACCAAGTCTGTTCAATTCGGCCAGTACGCAAAGACATGACCGAGTAATACAATCATCTTTTTGAGTAAATTGTGAATGGTTGCGAGTCCTTAAAGCAAATTACGTACGCAATGGGGAACGCGAAGTGTAAGGTCTTGGTAGCTGGCACGGAAACTTGTATGTAATGGGGAATGAGAAGTGTAAGGTCTAGGCAGTCGGGACGGAAACTTGTTTAAGGAAGGTCCATTGAATAGGAGATTGCAAGGTCTCTTCAGGACCCTGCCACAGATTATGTTGGAGGACGGTGTGATGTTAGATATCAGCTTTGGCAAAGATCTTTTATATTAGGAATGGGATGCAAGTATTTCTTCTCTTTACTTAATGGTCATCTTGTCGATGTGGTGAAAGATTATTCCTAAAGATGGATGGCTTCAGAGGGAGGGGATTTTGAGGTGCATTTTTTTTCTTAGGTGTTGAGGGGTGATGACCTCACTAAGCTTCTCTTAAAAGGCTATATGAGTATAAAAGCTCCTAATGTGGCATTCTTTGGATGGACAATAGTTCTCTTTAAAGAATTCAACCGTTGATAACCTAGTGAAGATGCGACAGGCCCAAATCAGTGGTGCATGTGCAAGAGCAATGAAACATCTTACATGCCATTGCCTTGGAGCAAGGGACTTGGGGGGCTTTGTCTTATCTGTTTCAGGTTTCTGTGTGTCTAAGCTTGGCCATTAATGGTTTGTTTTAGAGAATATCATTATAGGAGCTATTTAAGCCCCTGAAAGAATATCAATAGGAGTGATTTTAGGAATCCTTCATCAATATATTTATCACATATTTGTATTCTTCCACCTACAAATAGAAGTGGTCATTGCAAACAAAATTAAGAGAGAGTGCAATGAAAGAGAAGTAGCCCTTTGGACTTTGTGTGCCATGGATGTAGGCTGTAGTGGCCAAACCACGTTATATTCTTGTGCTGTTCAAGTTCAGTTTCACCCTTCAATTTTATTTTTCTTAACAGTTTCTCTAGCAGAGGGGTGAAGCGAGCAAGAGAGATAGGCCCACGAGGCGAATGGTGCCATTATGCCTCTAGTGACATAGAACAGGCATCTTTTAAAGAGGTGGAATTGCCACATTTACAAGTTAAGGTATCTTTGTTGAGATCCCTCCATTCTTGATTACAAGAGCTTCAAGTCTTATATGAGTTTATAGTCTTGAAAAGCTAGGTTTTTGTATTCTTTACATGCCGTGTAACATCATGGCACCCTTCAGTGAATCGTCTAAGATAAAAAAAAATGGTAAGGAAAAAAAAGAAGAAGAAGAAGAAGACACAATTAAGTACAGCAATACAGCTCACAACAAAGGCAATAAAAAAGTCTAAGTTCAAATGAAGGGTGCTCACCTTGCTGCTTGGTCCATTCAGACATCAAATAAACAAAGGCATTATCATGGCCTTCAGCAGGGACTGAAATCAACAAGTTAATAAATTGTTCTACATGTGGGCTACTCAAGTGAACCTGCATTAAATGAAAAAGATCTCTGATACATTTATCCGTAGAATATGCCCAAACTCATATATGGAACCTTGACTATGACTACATACATGGAAAATTTGAGGCAACCCAGCACAGTTCATATGGAAAAGATAAGAAAAAGAGAACATATCAAGTTAAACAATTCAGGATGCTGACAAAATTTTACAGAAGCTGAACACATTCAAAGCCTCATCATCCATGCTTTCTGTATACGCTACAAGCTTTATCAATTGGAAGTTCCATGTTACTGAAGTGAATTGCATTTATCAGAGATGGGAATCAGTTTATGTAACTCTACTCCATTCCTTTGGTGGATTTAGCAAGGGAAAAGAAGAAAAAAAATGCAAAGAAAATCTTTTCCCCTTGTTTGGTTACAATGGAAGATAGGGACAAAAAGTAAAGGTCAAAATTTTAATTTACAAGTCAATTACATTTCCATTATTTCTTTACCTCTAACCATTTTTGAGAAATTTTTAATTTCTAATCTCAATTGAGCATGAAAAAATATACGAGGGAAATAATTATTCCTTTCCATTTTTAAAATGCAATTCCTTTTCTTCATGAAATAAATGAAGCCTAAACGATAACAAGAAAGGAAGTTATACATATGCCAATTCAGGTCATAGAAGTCACTAGAGAGAAATATGTAGTTCCATCAATATAAATGAATTTGAAGAAATATACCAATCTAGCAAAAATAAGTAGCAATGAGCTTCTCAATCCCGCAATTTGACAAGATTGCATGCGCCTTACAAGAGCAGCAACCAGATCTCGGATATGCTGTGCCATCTGTGAAGGCAGATGCAGGAGAAGTTGCAGAACGTAACTCCCAACAAAAAGTGATACAGAGCTTTCCAAATCAGGGTCTAGAAGCCTGCACTCGGTCCCAAAGTTCAGCATCCAAAACCCAAGAATCAGAAATCATTATATATATGTACAGTTTCAAAGTACCTAATCTAAGGTATTCTTTTCAATACCAACAGAAAACACTTACTGCAGATTATATGTGAAAGACATCATATAGCAAAGCAGATCAAATTTTGCCTCGAAAGTAAACAGAATAGAAAACCTCAGAACAGGCAACGAGTGTTTTACCCACTAGACAAATCAAACTCAGGATAAAATGACCAACTGACTAAACAGAAAATTTTCCATACCGCAGTGAGAAAAATTATAATGGAGAGGACAGCACGTGTATCCTTGCCAGGTGCTCAGAAGCTAACCAGGAGTGCCATGAAAGAATTGAACATTACAACTGTTAAATCACTTATGCATATATGTATTTATGCTGGGGTCCAAGTGTAATTAGATATAGGGTTTGTGGCCATTATGTAATTAGGCCTTTCTTGTATTGTACATAACCCCCTTTATGTTTTAGGGTTAGAGTATGTTAGAGTGAGGAGAGGCGCCTCATACAACTCTCTATTAGAGCTCTCTCTCTCTCCCCCTCTGTGTATCTCTATTCTCTGTATATACAAATCTTCAATTCCACATGGTATCAGAGCTGTCGAAATTGTGAGTCTGGGAAATTACAGCTGTGTTGTTTGGTCGTCGATCTGCCAAAGGTGTGGTAGTCGATCTGTTCAGAGCTCGTGTTGTTGTTTATTATTCTCAGATCTGAAGCCCCGCTTTGGTTGTCGCTCGCCGCCTTCTCTCGTCGTCGCTGCTTGTTGCTTGGTCTCAGATCTGAAGCCCAGTTTAGTTGTTCGTGTTGTTGCCGTTGTGGTTGTCGACGAGCTCTCCGCCTTCTCTCGTCGTCGCTGCTCGTTGCTTGGTCACTGGCGGCTGTCACAAGTTGTGTCGCTGCTTGTTGATTCCATCGCCGCCGCTGCCAATGCGCGCTTGCTGGAAAACTGAGACTTTGGTAAAGAAGAACCGTGTTTGGCTACACGGTTACGCTATTCCAACCCTAGTTTACTAAAACTGGGATAAGCTATTCCATGGTTTACAAAAACCAGGATAAAAGCGACCCGATTTACGCTCCAACCCATCCGATCCGATTTACGGCCCGACCCGCCCAACCCTATTTACGATCTGGGTCTGTTCTGCTCTAGGTCTTCTTCTGTTCCCGGTTCATCTCTGTTCTGCCTTCTCGGGTGACTTCAACTTGGCGCAGATAAGTTTTTTTTTGGTTTACATATTTATATATCCATGTCAGACGATTCAACTATTGCTTCTAGGTCTACTGGAATTAAATCTTCTACAACACATGTTGATCCTGTCGGGTTGCAACTAGTGTTATTAAAAGCGCGCCTGGGCGCGCGCCTGGGCTCAAGGCGCCTACAGGCGCACCTCATGCGCCTCATGCTAGCCCAAGCGCAACGACCTTCACTAGGCGCGCGCCTGTGTTGCGCCTTGGATAGTTTAAGAGGCGCGCTTAGGCGCGCTTCATATATTCTATGCTCCTTCATATATTTGTTTGATGTATTACGTGTACTTTGTGTTTGCTTGTTTAGTTTATATTATTATATATATATATATAGTTACAGCTTTTGGAAACTGAAAGAGTACAAAATGGAAACTTAAAGTACAAAAAGAAAAGTTTTCTTGTGACTTGGCAACCCAATGTCTCCCAACAGTCAACAAAACAAATCAGTCAAAGAGCAAAGGCTGCAGCAGAAATAAAGACGTGTGGGAGTGGAAAAGAGAAAGAGAAGAGAGAAAAAGAGAAGAGCAGAGAAGAGGAGAGGTCTACCAGTCCGTCCGGCCAGGAATCACCGAATCAAATTAACAGGTCAGTTTTGTTTTTTTTTTTTTTTTCCTTCTCCAGTTCTCCTCTTCTCTTCTCCCCTTCTCTCTCTCTCTTCTCTATATCTCGCCCTTTATTTTTTTTTTTTCTTCTTCTTCTTCTCTATTTCTCTGATTTTCTTCTTTCTTTTTCTGGGTCTATCAAATTAACAGGTCAGTTTTTTTTTTTTTTTTTTCCTTCTCCAGTTCTCCTCTTCTCTCTCTCTCTCTTCATTTGCTCTAATCTCTATATCTCGCCCTTTTTTTTTTTTTTTCTTCTTCTTTATTTCTCTGATTTTCTTCTTTCTTTTTCTGGGTCTCTAGTAGACTGGTATTTTTTTTTTTCAGGTCTCTTATTTTTTTTCTTCTATCTTTTTCTGTCTCTGTATTTTTTTTTTTTCTTCTTTCTTTTTCTCCGTCTCTATTTCTATTCTTCTGGGTCTCTTTTTTTCTTCCTCCTCTCTATATATCTGGTTTTGTGTTTTTTTAGCTCTTTCTTTTTCTGGGTCTTTTTTTTTTTTTCTTCTATCTTTTTCTCCATCTCTGTTTTTGTTCTTGTGGGTCTCTGTTTTTTTTTTCTTCTTTCTTTTTCTTCATCTACTCATCTCCCGTGTCTTGCTATATATATATATATATATATATATATATATATATATATAATTTTTTTTTTTTGTTCTCTCTGGCCTGTATTTTTTTTCTCGTTGTATTTTTTTCCATCATTTTCAACTTCTTGGTGTATAGCTGTAAATCTGTACTCTCTTCATCATCATCAGTCTTCAGCATTCATAGTTTGCAGTGCTATCCCGTAGGAGAATCAGTACACCACATCACCCTTTAATAAAGAAATACCGAACAGAATAAGACTTTTTAAAATTATTATTTTTTTGTTGTCTGTTGCATCTTAATTGCTGTAAAATTTCAAACTCTGTTTTTGTTCTCTCTAGCCTTCATTTTTTTTCCCTTCATCTACTCCACCGTATTTTCTTTCTTTTTTTCTTTTCTTTTTTTTCAATCTCTGCTTTGAAGGCTGTCTGTCTCTTTTTTTTTTTTTGTTGTTGTGTTCTGCTGAATTTTGCTACATGGATTATTTAAATTTTGAATGCATCTTTTTGAATGGTGTTTGCTGAAAGTGTGAATGTTGTTTGCTGAATTTAACTTGGTCCATCACTCCATTGACTCCATTCTGTTTCTCATTGTAAATACTAAATAGATAGGAAAAAATGTCAAAGGATCCAGCTTGGAATTATTGTCACCTGCAAAACCCACAAGATAGGAATGCAACATGATGTAATTTTTGTGAAAAAGTTATGAAAGGGGGTATTTACAGGGCTAAGCAACACATTGTAGGAGGACATAGAAATGTACAAGCATGTAAAAAGTGCCCTGAACATGTGAAAGAGGAGATTAGAGAATACATGAGCAAGAAGAAAGAAGAAAAGGAATACACAAATTTGTTGCCGGATTTTGATGACATGGATGATCAAGATGAGGATGATGTTGCAATTCTTGATGTTAAGGGTAAAAGAGTGGCAAGTGGAACTGGAAGCAATAATATTCAATCAAAAAAGCAGAAGCAGAAAGGTCCTATTGATTTGTACTTCACCCCTCCTCCGGAAGTGGCTGTGCAAAATAGAAAAAATGACAAGGGTAAGCAAACAACAATTGACAGTGCTTGCAAGAAAGAACTTAGAAACCGAGCATGCCAACGGTTTGCAAGATGGATGTATGATGCTGGGATATCATTCAATGCCCTTAATTATGATAGTTTTGCACTAGTTGTTGAAGCTATTGGCCAACATGGTCCAGGAATGAAACCTCCGTCTTATCATGAGGTGAGAGTTCCCCTCCTCAAGAAAGAACTGGAGCATACAGACAATTTAATGCGGGATCATAAGGAGGAATGGGCAAAATACGGATGCACAATTATGGCAGATGGATGGGAGGATAAAAGACAGGGGTGTTTGATTAATTTTCTGGTGAATTGTCCTAAAGGGACAATGTTCATTCAATCTGTCGATGCTTCCTCTTATTCAAAGACCAGTGAAAAAATGTTCGACTTGCTTAACAAGTTCGTGCAGCAAATTGGAGCAACAAATGTGGTTCAAGTAGTCACTGATAGTGCATCTTCTAATGTTGTGGCAGGTATAGATGTCAATATGCACTTGATGTGAAAATTTTAGATTTATTGCTTCTAGCCTTCTATTAATCCAAATTTTCTTTCTTTACAATAGGGAGAATGTTGGAGGGAAGGCACCGACATTTGTATTGGTCACCTTGTGCTGCACATTGTTTGGACCTGATGTTGGAGGACATTGCTAAGATCCCAAATATAATGATGACCATAAAGAGAGCTATAATGTTAAATGGTTATATTTATAACCGTTCGGGTTTGTTAAACATGATGAGGCGTTATACTGGACATAAAGAGTTTCTTAGACCTGCAACGACTCGATTTGCCACTTCATTTATCACATTATCAAGCATCCATCGTCAAAAGGATTGCTTGAGGAAGATGTTCACTTCACAAGAATGGACCTCCAGTAAATGGGCGAAAGAGATACAAGGGAAAAATGTAGCACATATTGTGTTGATGCCTTCATTTTGGACAAGCATTGTGTACTCTCTCAAAGTAGCAAGCCCTCTTGTTCGTGTACTTAAGTTGGTTGATGGTGAGAGAAGGCCTCCAATGGGATATATTTATGAGGCTATGGAAAGGGCTAAAGAAGCGATAGCTAAAGCTTTTGGTGGGAATGAGGAGAAGTATAAGGACATCTTTGAGATCATTGATAGAAAATGGAATATCCAACTCCATCGCCCTTTGCATGCAGCTGGGCATTTCTTAAACCCAGAATATTTTTATAGCAATCCAAATATTGAGCAAGATGAAGAGGTGATGGGTGGTTTATATCAATGCATAGAAAGATTGGTTCCAACCACTGAAGTGTAAGATAAAATTTCTTTGGAGTTGAGTAGATATATGAAAGCTGATGGTCTATTTGGCTCATCAATTGCTATTAGACAAAGAAAGTCAAGGGCACCAGGTAAACAACTCAATTAATCATTTTTTAGTATATTTGAATTTTAATTTTGTTAATTTTTTACTAATAATATGTAAATAACAGCCGATTGGTGGTCCGCATATGGTTC